TAACATATTACACAGCAAGCAATTTATTTACTTTTCAGATCACTCCCACCCATTCTAAAGAAGTTTTCACTTCAAAAAAAAAAAAAAAAGAAAAAAACAAGATTAACAAGGGAAAGACCAAAAAGTTTGATAGTTAAATTATAATTCAAACAAAAGAAAATGTTTTGTATGTAATATGAAAGTATGAACGAACAAACTTGTATAACACGTGAAATGAATTATAAATAAATAAATGATGGGGGGGTCTTATCACAATTTTTTCTGTAATAACTTCGTTCATAAGTTTTATTTATAAATTTTTCCTAAATAAATAAAAATGTGAATATTTCTATCTCTCTTATTCTCTCTCTCTCTCTCTCTCTCTCTCTCTCTCTCTCTCTCTCTCTTGTTTAATTCTGTTACATTAGTATCGTGTCACTTCGTGCGCGTTTTTGCGTATCGGCATTTCCGTAAACTCTTTCACCGATAACGGAAACCTATGCACTGCTAACAATCGAATTCTCTCAATAGGATTTCGATGATATACGTTAGCTCGAGCGCAAGTGGCACGTCATGCTGTTTTGCTTCTCTCCTACACGAGAAACTAATCGTCCGAGCAACCACGAATGCTTTTATATCTCATTTAAAGTTCTACGAGTTTGATCGATTTTTCATCAAGATATATATACATATATATATAACCGAGTTGTTCACTAAATTCCTAACGATTTTCGATAAAACGAACAATGTTAATATTCTCTTATCAAATATCTACATACCTATATATATATACGATACACCTAACTATAATTATATATTTTACAGATAAAAAATTCGTCAAGTGAAACAGAGAGAGAGAGAGAGAGAGAGAAAAAAAAATACAAAAAAAATTTGTGTGTGTTTAATTTTATTTTTAAAAATATTCAATGAAAAATTTGCACCCAACTTTTTACCAGTTAATTCGATAGATGATAGATAATTCAATTGAAACAAATAAAAGATTAAATGTGCAACATCACGCAATGCAAACTTTTGTTAAGGTTTCTTTAAACGTTAATCGACAAAAATAGAACAGCAGAAGCATGAAGTAATAGAAAATATAATAGAAAAATTCAAATACTTTAAAATTAGATCAAAAATTTTGTTGCCCTTTCTCTCTCTCTCTCTCTCTCTCTCTCTCTCNTATATATATATATATGTATATGTATTCATGTTTGTAAATGTTCAAAAGATGTTTCTAAATGTTTGGAACCCATTGTGTGAGACGACGACCAATCATTGATAAGGATTCAATGCTAAAGAAAAATTCAATTGAAAATTTTCCCGCCAAATTTCTTTCACTTCTTCTTCTTCTTCTTCTTCTTCTTCTTCTTTTTTTTCCCGCCAAAATTTCTTTCACATCTTTTTTTTTCTAATCTTTGTACTCTTATCTAAACACGTGACCATTTCTTTATGAGATTAATACTGCTTGATAAAAGAGTTTGTTCTTTAATTAATTAATTAATTAATTAATTTTTTTTTTATTTTTCTTTCTTATGGTTACCCATTCATAACCTATAAATAATATTAATAATAATAATAATAATCATAATCATTTAATAAGTATAAATTATTGTACAGAAAAAACAAAATAAATGGACACAGCCAAATTTACTTCTTACTATTTTTCTTCTTCTTACCTTCTTCGTTTTTTTTTTTCTTTTTTTTTTTTCTATGGTTACCCATGATATATAAATAATAATTGTTTAACTCATTACCTAAAACGTTCACAAATTCTCAAAATAAACAACATGCACACTACACACGAGATATATCGTCAATATTACCAAAAAGTAATTGCACGTGTCTGTAAAACATATATATACATATATATACATATATATACATGCATATATATATATATGTATCTCGTTAACAAAGTCGAACGGAAATAGAACCCTGCTGGATATGGATAACATAATATCTATATATATCGAAAGATTTATCAGCGTGGTTTATCCATGGTAATTACTTTGTAACCCATTATTTATCTCTCTCTCTCTCTCTCTCTCTCTCTCTCACTCAACTCTCTCTTGTTTTTTTTTCTTTTTTTTTCGTATATTTTTTATTATACCTTCCTTCTTCCTTTTTTATATTTTTTTTTTTTTTTTTTAATTTTAAAAACTAGTTTCATAAACGTAACGATAAATGAGAAGAACACGATGATAACCAACAACAACAACAACAACAACAACTCAGCCACGTTGACAAAATATCTTTGTTAATTTTTCAAAATGGATGAAAGAAACGTATTATAATTATTAATTATTATCATTTGATTACCAACAAATTCACATAAATAATAATACCAAATGAGATATACGTTGAATAGAAAATATCTACAATAATGATAATAATAATAATAATAATAATAATAATGTATATAATGTAATGCAAAACTAAATAGTTTGTTGAAACAAGTTATTAACTAATTGTAAGTTTAATCATCATTCTTCTGTATACTTGGCAAATTATACAAAAAAAAAAAATAAACAATACCAACTATTTCGTAAAACTATTCAATTATTAAATAAAGATTCTTTCTTTTAACCAATTAACACGTTATACGCCACGTAAATTCTTACGAAAATCTTTGTCAGGCCACAGGTGACAAAACGAAAAGATATTAAAAAGTGGAACGTCAGTCACCAACGCTTGACATGGCCTGAACTGAAAGTTGAACGTCAAGCACATGTGCCTGACATGGCCTAAGCTGAAAGTTAAGTGTCAGTCACAAGTGAATAAACGGAAATTCGGTGTCAGTCACCTGTGCCTGACAAAATTTCCCCCTTAAACAGCGTCAGTCATCTGTGCCTGACGCTATTTTCTCCTTAAACCGCGTCAGTCACCGATGACTGACTGCATTTCTGCGTAAACCGCGTCAGTCATCGATGACTGACGCTGTTTCCCCCTCAAACCGTGTCAGTCATATGTGACTGACGCGGCCTGGACAAAAGAGTCAATTTGTCAGTCACTGACGACTGACGTGGCCTGGACAATGCCTGCTGTCAGTCACTGACGACTGACGCGGCCTGGAAAGAGAGTTAATTTTGTCAGTCACCTATGACTGACGCGGCCTGGACAGAGAGTTAATTTGTCAGTCACCGATGACTGACGCGGTTTTTAGGAGAAAATACTGTCAGTCATCGGTGACTGACGCGGTTTAAGGAGAAAATAGCGTCAGGCACAGATGACTGATGTGGCATTATCAACGTGTTTTAACCGTAATCGACGTGTATACTCGTCATACATATAAACTAATAACCATTGAATATTTAAATTGTAATTTTTGTCAAAAAAACAAAATACATTTTTAAACTTCAAGATGTTTCAAATATTTTGAGACAATGTTGGAATAAAACGAACAAATAAAAAATATAAATAATTTAAGATGAACTTCACGTGTTCCTTTATGCAAAGATTGAAACTATACGAGTATACTCGTCATGGTTTGATTCTGGTGACATAAAATGGTACGTGGTCTCAAACGAGAGTGTCACAGGTTAATTGGTTAAAGTTTCATTTAAAAAAAACACATTCATGTAATGATAATAATAACTACTTTACAAATATATATATATATATATATATGTATGATATTACATGTTATAGAATATTTTTGGCAATTTACAATGATTGTTTAAAAAAAAAAACAAAAGAAAATTGTTTCTATATAAAGGTTGTGAGCACAACAACAACAACCATGAGATGATACACCACACTTTTCTATGTTAAATATATATATAATTAACATAGTGTAAAGTATATCTTTGGCAGAATGAATAAAACTCGTGGTTACTTAGAAAATCTTCTTATTCTTCTTATTTTTCTATTAATTTCACGTAGACGAACTATTTTCGCAAAACGTTCGCAATAAAACGTTCGCAGTAAAACGAATGAGAGAAAGCAGCATCCTCCCATGTCTGTTCTTTTAAAAAAGATCGATATCGTCGTCTGTCCATGTCACCTTCATCCCTTTTTCCCTTTTTCCCTCTTTCACCTCTCATCCTCATACTCATTCTCATCCTTTTCCTCCTCCTCCTTCTTCTCTTCGTCCTTTTTCTCATATATATATATATATATATATATATATATATAGATATTACCTCATAGTGGCATGTGATTATTAATACATTATTGGATTTAGTAATAAAAAAAAAAAAAAGGAACTATGACATAGCTGACGTGACTATACTATATCGTAAATAAATAAATAAACTAATAATAATAATAATAATAATAATAATAATAATAATGAAATTATGAAATATATGTTATATAAAGAATTTTAAATATAAACTTTATATAATAAAGTATCATCAAACACACACATGCACACACAATTATTTTACTTCATCATATTATTGCACACAAAAATGATTATAACAAAATTAATATAAGAATGTTATTATTATTATTATTATTATTATCGTTTACGTTAAATTATCGTTTATAAATTGTATAAAAAATCATTTTAAATTTATTAAACATTACTGTATACAAAATAGTAACGTGTGTTAATGAAAAAAGAATACACACATACTTCTTATATATAAATTAAAATCAATTGAAATATATATAAGTTAAAATAATTTGTTTCTCGAACGATTATATTAACACTATGACGTCCGGTGGTACCAACGTTGGTGTCATTCGAAAATTATCGAGCATAATGTGTTAATTAAATAAATTTGTGATTTTAACGTAAACGATATGAACATTAAATTAAAATTACAAACTTTAAGTTTAGACACATTTTTTTTTCATTTAACTTCATTCAATAAAATGTAATGTTCTCGTTCTTATATAAAAAAAAAAAAAACCCCAAAATATTTTACGTAAGACAACTTATCCTCCTTTCAAAAATATTCTGAAATACAAAACGAAGATACGAAAAGTACAAAAAAAAAATGAGAGCAGAGGAGGAGGAGGAGGAGGAGTTACACGATGGTACTCGAGTTCATCCCAATTTCCATCGTCATCGTCGTCATCGTCGTCATCGTCGTCGAGGTAGTCGACGTTTCATAGAAGAAAATCAACGAGTCGTATCGTCTTTCAACAATCAAGCCCTGTTCGTGTAGTTCGTTTACGAGCATGGCAAAAAAAAAAAGGGGCCGCCGCCGTCCTGCTTTCCCTTTACGATAATCTCGTGTCCTTTTCATTCATACACACATACTCTCTTTCTATCTCTCACTCACTCACTCACTCACTCTCACTCACTCTCATCCATTTTTTTTTCTACATACCTGTCGTCATTTTCCACCACATCAAAGAAAAGGAATCGTCGATGCGAGTTAATTTCACCTGCATCCCTCATCTTCGTACGTGTCCCTTTTTCATATGTATGTATGTGTATGTGTGTAAGTAAAATGTACGTGTGTATTTTATTATTTGGGGGTTTGGGTGTAGGTGTATAATTATACGATTAAAGTCTCTTGAGAGCAAGAAGTAGTAGTCTCGAGTCCAACCAAGTGAAATTGGTCAAAAGAGGGGGTGCATTGGCCCTTTAAACGTTCATCGCGTAATACACGGAGTTTTGTGAGTCGGTAGGCGGGTTTAGGGTATTGGCACGATGCCCACCGTAAGAGTTTGACACGAGGAGTAAGTGGGACATCGAGGTTGTCGTCGATTGAGATAGTGCTGGTGTTTGAGGAGTAGTTTGATGATGCTGAGAAGATTGTTGTTGTGGTGGTGACTGAGAAAAATCGTGCGAGGGTGCACTGGCTGCACCTTCGGGTACACCGCGTTCCGCGACGCTACACGAATTATTTACTAATTGTTGTTGTTGTTGTTGTTGTTGTTGTTGTTGTTGTTGCAGTTGTTGCTGTTGTTGTTGTTTCGTAGGTGAAGATAACGCCGAGGAAGAAGACGAGGAAGATGCCGAAAGTGGGCCACCGATATTAACGTTTCCTTGTTGATCGTTGACGGAAAAACTCGCGGATAGGCGTAAATCGCAGATAGGTTTAAAAGAGGTAACGGGTACGGACAATGGGGTTGAGGAGGACGTCGAGACGGTTTGTGTCTGTACGTCAGTGGCGTTCGCAGCTGCCGCCGCTGCAGCTGCTGCAGCGGCTGCTGCAGCGGCCGTAGCGACGGTAGCAGAACTTCGGCCAAGTGGTATTTGATAAAGATGATAGGCTGGATTTGTCGAATGCCCGGTAGTTACCGTGGAGGCGCATCTAGGAGGTGCAATCACCGTGTAAGATGTTGGGGGTGGTGGAGGTGGAGGTAATACAGATTGCAGGTGATACGAGGCTATTTGATGATGATGTTGTCGATGTTGAAATTGGATAGGATGAACAGCGGCATGTGGAACGGATGATAAATGGTGTAGGTGTAATTGGAGCGTCTGCTGAGGTGTTTGGGAAGGAAGACAATTAGGTGGAGCAGAATCAGGAAGTGGTTGTTGAGAGGTTAAATAAGTATTTGGCGCCAAGGGACGTGGGTAGTACCTCTGCTGATGTTGCTGTGGTTGCTGTTGTGGTTGCTGCTGCTGTTGCGGCGGTGGTTGCTGCTGCTGCTGCTGCTGCTGTTGCTGCGGGCTATCAATCTTCGCCTGTCGAGGATAAGGATAACGCTCTATGTGGGTCGCGTAATTAGGCGACGAATGTGGCGGTAAGATTCGTTGAATGTTCTGATATGTCGGATCCGAGATTCCATTGTATGGCACGAAATACATCGTACGATAACACTTAGTACCACCACCACCACCACCACTACCACCGGCACTGCTGGATGCCGCAGTTGGCGAGACTACGTTGCAATGATAATTAGGAATCGTCGTTGGTGGATAACGACGAATTTTAGCTGGTAATGTTGCTGTATAATTAGTAGCAGGTATCGTTTCTTCACCACCACCCGCGATACGTAACATACGAACATTGGTTGGCTGATGTTTATCCGCAAAATAATTCTGACCATTCTTTTGTTCAGGATATTGATGAGAGATACCATCGGTCGGTGGTATTCTTACCAATGGACGTGGCAACGTGTTTTCTAAATAAGTAACACGATCGAGATTACCTTGAGTAACCGCTGTCTCTACA